GCGCAGTAGTGGAGGGCTTTCTCTCTTTCTTTTAGAAACAGTACACCATGAATGACATGTGTCCCTGGAAGCTGGGGGAGGCAGAGCGACTGCCTGCAGGTGGCCGTGGCAGGGGTGTGGCAGCTGTGAGTGGGGAGCTCCCGCAGGCAGCCATGGCGGTGTTGGCGGGGGGGAGGGGAGGGGCATGATGAGTGCTGAGCAGCAATCGGTGACCACTCGCAGAGGCCGCCAGCCGTGGTGGCAATTGGCGACTGCCTGCAGACGCTGCTGGTGGCAAGGGGGGGTGGTGGCAAGTGACGACTGCCCGCAGGTGCTGCTGGCAGCACTTAACTCAGGAGGTGCACCGCCAATCTCAGGGGGTGCACGTGCACCCCCTCCACATTGCCAATGCAGTATACTTATGTATACTATTAATATACAGCTATTGAAGTCATTTAATGTGGCTCATCTTTTTGACTAGCATTTAGAGAATATTCTTTATAATGTTTTATATAACAAACCCCCTGTCAAGTAAGGAACTGCAAGAGGTCTTAAATGCAAGCATACACATAATCTCAGTATTTTGTTTTTAGATTCAATTGAAATTAACTTTGGGAACCAATCTTCAAGATTCCCTTTTAGGGAGTGGGGACAAAGTTCCTATTGGGTAGAAGAATCTTGTTCATTGCCCAGTGAGAGTTAATATTAAGGTTTTTTAACACATGTGCATACCATAAAAAAGATCTTGGGTAATACTCCTGAGTCTCATATACAAACTAAACTTTTTGACTGAGGAGAGGGTAGGAAGGCCCTGTATCTTTACTTGTTTGATTTGTTTGTCTGGTTGCTTATATGGTGCCCAGAAATGGCATCAGAGTGACTCTTGTATCATTAGCATCCCTAAAATGCTAAAGCAGCTAGTTTAGAGGCTTTAAGTTCTTAGGTTTGCTCCTCAGCTCTTATTGTGCTAAATAATAGAAGAACAGCTCACTGCAAACTCGTCACTGGGTGCATCTACACATGCAGTTAGTGTGCATGAATAAATTCTGGAGCTTATTACTACTGAGTTTTTTTTTCTTCTGGGCACGCTGTTTGAAATGCTCCCGGGAGCAATCAACTCCTGAGCAATCAACTCCAGAGTTTAATTCATGCAGAGTATGTGGAGCCCGGTTGGAGCAGCCCTGGGGATCAGCCTGCCAGCCTGGGGCTGCTCTGACTGAGCTGCACATGCTGCGGAGAGGCTGGCTGGGGCACAAGGGTGCTACAGTGTGGGGCTAGCCGGTAGGCAGCCCCCAAACTGTAGCACCCTTATGCCCCAGCTAGCCGGGTCAGCATCGACACATGCACTGTTGCATACAAAAACACCCCGCAGCAGGTTAGTACTTGGTAGTACAGGGTAGTACTACAGGATAGTACTACACGTGCGCCTAATAGGGGCGCGCGTGTAGATGCTGAGATGTTTATAGCAGAGCAAATTAACCTACTCTGCAGTAAATATCTCAGACACGCCCCCTGTGTGCAAACGGGGTGTTTTGCTGGGTTTTTTTGTGGGGGGAGGTTAAATAACATACGTCACTTTCCACTCAGAAAATATTTAATTGCTTCTTATAATCTGCTTTCTCTTTTCCTGGCTAGATCCTGCAAGGTACCAAGCACTTCCATTTCCCAATGAAAAGAATGGGAATTAAAGACACTTCATTGTCTGTGAGGAGATTCTTGTCAACATTCAGGATTAGTTGAATAATCTGCTAAAAGGCTAAAATGTGATGGTTTACCCCTGAATGAAATGTATTACCCTGGTTGAGTTTCTGCTTAATGTGGAATAAAGTGGATACATGGAACACATGTACCATGGATCAGTTGATGCACAGTAATCTCCACTTGCTTTCTAACACTGTAATTTTGTTTTTCTGGCTGCATCCATAGTTGCTAAAATAAATGATCTGTGTAAGCTTGGCAAGTGAAGGGAAATACGTAATGACTGTACATTTAGGGATTTTATATTTGCGCTGGTAGTTTCAATTTATTTGGAGAAACCTTTAAACAAATAATTACAGATGCCTTTTCTGTCTTATCCCCAGTTAAGCTTTAATTCTATCTGAGGAATATTAAATTTCTAATTGTGTCTTTATGGGTTAAGCTTTTTGTATACACATTTCAGTGACTCAAACCAATTTAAAGATGATTTTAGGTTTCTCTCCCTCCCCCCCGTAATTGGAGTTATGTGAATACCTCTGTTGCAGTCCATTTGGTTCCCTGGGGACAACTAGCAGGGGACAACTAACAGCAGAACACCTTGTGCCGCTGCTACTTGTCTCCAGGGAATGCCTGTGCTATGCACCCTTTGGAACATAGCAGGTTACCTTGGGTGGGTAGGGGAGGCTGGGGCCAACACTGGGCAGCCAGAGTATAGCTCTGGCTGGCCAGGCTCTGGTTTTTGGTGGTGTGCGCTGCTGCCACTTGCACTGTCCTGCTTTTTTTGGCATGGGCTTTTTTGACCCCGGGATCTCCTGGGGTCAAGAAAACCCCCTGTACTGCAAAGCAGCAGCATGGGGAATGCCTGCATGTGCGGTGCATGACGCTACATTCAGGTCTGTTGTGCCACATAGCACACATTTGCACTCATCTGGACACGACCACTCCGTTTTGAAAAGGGATTAGGAGGTTTGAAGTGTTCTTGCTTTCCTCCAAAGGCTTTTTTTGGGGAGGAATCGCCAGGTCATTTTATAGGAGGAGTTGAACTAGAGAACAGAATAAATAAAGTAGTTGGAAAAACTGAACCTTGTGCCTCAAAGATGCTGTAGTCAGCTATACATGATGTAAGGCATTCTGGGGTGTTTATATAACCGAAGCAATGATGATGCTTTATAAGGAGGAATAATTTCCATAATGGCATGAAAAGATTGAATTGAAAAAATTTAAAAAAACCATGACTGATTCAGAAAAGCATGTGGAGTACAGCTTTCCTACGTTACTTATCTGCTCCTACTTGGCACACTAAGTGTATATTGGCTTTGAAGGAAATGAATTAAGGAGAGGAAAATGGTCTCAACCTAAGTGATTACACAATAGCCTCAGTCTGATAAGTGCCAATTAACTTTTTTTTGTATATCTGTTGGATGCTGTATATAGTTAGCAGGAACATTTTTCTGTAACTTCTCACAAGAAAGGCACTGTATCTGATGAAGTGAGCCAAGGCTCACAAAAGCTCATGCTTTACATCTCTGATTTAGTTAGTCTGTATAATGTGAATCTACCCTGCAGTTCTTGATGCAGTCAGCATAAAGTCTCTGTAGAAACTTTAAGGATAGGGACAGAAATTACACATCAACCAATATAAGTGATCAGAAACTGGTTCAAGTCTGGTATCAGACTTAGCTGATTTAGGCTAAATCAGTTTACTTAACTTCTGTCCCAGATCCCCTCCAGTTTCAAGTTAACTCACAGTTCCCCAGCATCCCTGGATGCTTTGCCTCTCCCCAGCACATCCCCCCACCCCCGCTTTTGCAGAGTGGGTAGGCTAGCCTTTGCCCAAGCTGTGCGCTGCAGCTGAGCAGGGAGCTTGCTTTAGCACCCCTTGGCTTCTGGCCTGCGCCACTACAGGCATGTGGGGTATTCCCACAATCAAAAGTGAATGTCTGTTCACTTGCTTATCAGTTCAATATATGCAGCATAGACTAACCTGTGAAGATTGAATTGATTCAGTCTCTTTGCCTATCTATACTTAACATAAATCTTTGTCATGTCCACTCATATGCGGCAGGTGGTTGTAGGAGGTGGTAGTTTTTGCGTGTGAGTACAATCGCTAAATGTCATTTACAAGAGGTAAATTCTGGAATTTCTAAGACTATTTTCAGGTAACTTTTCATTCCTTTTTACTCTTTCAGTTGTTCTTTGTACATAACAGGAGGGAAAATTTTTTTGCCATCATGGTATTTAGACCTATTCTGGTAAAGTTTAGGTGACTCAATGGTAAAAATACTACTGCCATGTGTATAATTGTGCCACCACCATGATTACAATTTCTAGAGTTCTGTCAGTAACAAACTGCTGGTAGATTAGCAACAGCAACAGCAAAAGTCTATCCTATACACATCCAGAAAGAGGTCAGATTTCAATTTTTTATGAAAAGAGGTATTGTAGGTTTTTTCATATAATTGTTAAGCACATTTACTATCCTCAAATAGAAAATATTTCAATGGGGTTTCTATGCTTAATTCAGTGAAACAATGGAAAATATATATGGGTGCTTTAGAATATCCATTGTACCAAGAGACAGTGTTCAAATTGGTTCTTTGTGCCTCCCCAAGGAGATCATAAACAGTCAAACCCCAAAACAAAGCTGATGGAAGGGATTTATTTTTATGTGCAAAAGTGTTTTATTTTGGATTTAAGTGGTTAATAACAACACAAATGTAAAATGATTGCAAACTTAGAATTTTAGGGGAAAGATGTAGTTCCTTGTATTCTGTGTGTTCTCTACCTTCACTGTCTCTGAACTTAATTTCACCTTGTTTATTTTTGATAACAAGTGCGTCTTTCCTTCAGAAATGGGTACTGAGCAATAATGTTTTACGTATGGCATTTCAGCTTTTCTGAAAACCATGACATTTAAAAACATCTTAGCACATTCCTCAATATGCATGGATTCCTTTAAAATATTGAGCAGGTATTATGAGTATAGCAGTAAAATCACATGGGAGAGCTACTAGTCATTCATTTTTCACTACTGAAATTAAGTAACTCATTATCGTGATTACACACCATTGTCCTGTAATATTTAGGTAATATTTTGTAGAAAAAAATCTGTATAATTTACTCTTCACACATGCTCTTTGAAATGTCTCCTGTGAATCTTTTGTAATTGGTCATACATCCAAATAAACAATCTTTTTTTTGTGCAAACTAAATTAATTGTAAGTGGGTCTTGAGGCAGTTTGGGGACCTTTTCCTGAGAAGGGGTGATGCCATGCTCATGCAATTTTCTTTTTGATCTAAAGAGCTTTTTTCATTCTTTCTAGGAGCAAACGGCAGCATGACCAAGATCTGAACAGCCGCGTCAGTACATCAACCAGCAGTCTTTGGGTGTGAAGGAAGGGCTGAACGAATATCTCACATCTTCTGAGCTACCATGGAAGTCCCTTCGGATGAGGTGCTTTCCTCTATGATGTCTCATCCCCAGGTAATTGAGGTGAGTAGAACAACGTGTGACAAAAGATGTAGTTTATTCTGTATGGGAACTGTTTAAGGCAGTGTCCTTGATTGGTGGGTCTGGCCTCAAGTCATCAAAGAAATATCACTCAAAATACTGTATTAGGGATGTACTCAGTACTCGCTGAAGAATATCGCTGCTCTTTGTAAGAAGACATTGTTAGATTTAATTGCTAATAGCGACAATATTTTATTAATAGAATCTTCTTTATGCTTATACACATACCAACAAAAATCAGAATATCAGTAGCATCAGAAGGCTCCAATCTGGATCAGTGCCCATGTTTGTTAGATGTGATAAATAAGAAATACAAGCCTTGAGTAAGAGGCTGTCAGGGGAAATTTCAGGTTCACTGTTCTTAAAAAGCTCTATTAAAAGTTTGGACCAGAAAGCTCAATGACATTATTGTAGGGCCGCTTGAGAAGTAAACTCACTTTCTATCTCCAAATATCTTCTGCATATAGTTACTTCAAAGGATGCTATATGGCCTTTCAGCATCAAGCACTGAACATTGATTCTTTGTGTTTATTCAGGGACAAATTGTCACGAACTGTATATTTAAATATTAATGGGGACCAAGCTGGTATCCCAGAAAAGCATTTTGTATATGTGAAGTCCTGATGACTTCAGTAGGATTTGATTGCACGTTTAAATTTTAATAACCTGCCTGCAGTTAAGTGCAAGCTTTCCTAGAGAGGGCTGCTGTACCTAATTAGGGTCTAAGTGAAGATATTTATATCCAAACATTAAAACATTGCTTTTAATCTTGGTTGCTTTTGTCTGTTCAGCTGATGACAGTGAATAACCCATCAGTTTATGACAGCATGTATGCCATACATGAGTTGCTGAATATGGAAGGTAACAGCCTCAGTACCTATAAAGTGACTGATTGTAAGTGGGTCTCTTACCCTGCTTCCAGGTACAGGCTGAAGGTTCTGGCTTCACGTTCTCTGGCCAGGTCTGTTCTTTTCAGAAATGGCTTTGCACCCACTGGGTGCATCTACACATGCAATTAATGTGATGTGATAAACTCTGGAATAGACATAGACATCATCAGGGCTGGAAGGGACCTCGGAAGATCATCGAGTCCAGCCCCCCGCCCAAAGGGCAGGAAGTCAGCTGGGGTCATAGGATCCCAGCAAGATAAGCATCCAGTTTCATCTTGAAGGTGCTCAACGAAGGCGCTTGAACCACCTCCGGTGGCAGGCTGTTCCAGACCTTGGGGGCTCGGACAGTAAAGAAGTTCTTCCTTATGTCCAGCCTGAAACGATCTTGAAGTAGTTTGTGACCATTCGACCTCGTCATCCCTTGGGGCGCTCTGGTGAACAAACGTTCCCCCAGATACTGGTGGTCACCCCTGATAAACTTGTAGCTGGCCATCAGATCACCCCTGAGCCTGCGCTTTTCCAGGCTAAAGAGCCCCAGGGCTCTCAGCCTGTCATCGTAGGGTCTGCTTCCCTGACCTCTGATCATGCGCGTGGCTCTTCTCTGGACTCTCTCAAGCTTCTCCACATCCTTTTTGAATTGTGGAGCCCAAAACTGGACACAGTACTCCAGCTGCGGCCTCACTAAGGCCGAGTACAGGGGGAGAATGACGTCCCGGGATTTGCTTGAGAGCAAAAATAAAAATGTTTGTGCACTCCCTGCTCCTCCATTGCAGAAATCTATTTTAATCCGTTTTTAAAAACACACTTATTCTCTAAAGCAATTGGCTCCAAAATGTGGTACCTCTACTTTTGCTATTTACACACTCTCCTTTTTCATCCCTAAAGCTATTTCTTTCGGATTTGGGGGTTCCCAGTTCCTGTCATCTTGCTTTAGTTCAATCTATTCTAGATGGAGCTTTACCTGACGATTGCCTAAAAACGAGGCGCTGAACGCCGCTGCTTAGCGGCGTTCCTGTCAGAGAGTGCATTTTGCACGGGTTCTGTGATTTGGATTGACATACCACTTGTTTCTGTATAAATATGAACTCGCCATTTTCTCAACCTCCTGAAACCCTCAATATTTTGGATCTTGGAAATGGCCCGTCTCCTTATATGGTACTGGAGCAGCCGCTAAAGTTAGAGAGAGAGTTTTGCTAAAAGCTCTTTCCATTCTGGTGTTAGAAAGGAAAAAGGAGAATTGGCAATTGGGAAATTCAAGTGCAACTGCTTTCTCCGCTTGGTTCAGTAGAGGCAGAGTTGCTTGCTGGCATTCAGAACTCACTCTCTATTCTCCAAATAGTTTTGAAAAATAACAGGGTTCAGAAGGATGCCAAGGTGGGCTAAGTGGAGAAACGTGAATGTAGTGGGTAGGGTGCGTGAGAAAGTCTGTTACTAGAAATGGATTTACCCTGATCTTGCAAGCTGCTCTGCAAGGGGGGATTCCTGCCCTGCAGGAAATCAATGGGGTCTGTGGGATGGAAGGGACACAGCTCCTTGAGTACCCTGGGGTGAAGATTGTCAGGGCCAGCTGACTTGAAGGTATCCAGCTTCTCAAGATGTTCCTTCAGAAAGTCAGCATTAAAGGAGGGCAGGGGATCACCCTCACCTGGACTTCCCGGCCCTGTAGCGGGCATGGGCTTCCCATGGGACTGATGAAAGACTGACGCAAAGTACCTATTTAATACGCTGCTCCTGGGCACAGCAGTACTTTGAGCCAGGATGCAGCAGCCCTGTGCTGGCAGCAGGCTCAGAGGGTCAGCCCTGGGCTCTGGGTGGTGGCATTGGATAGTGAAGGGGCTGACTAGGGCACGAGAGTGCCTAAACTGTGCGTCTGATTCCCCTGAGCCTGCTGCCAGCCCAGGGCTGCTCTGCCCTGGCTCGAAGTGCTGCCGTGCCAGTTACCATCCACAAGTGCATTGCAGTGCAGTAAATGACTCTGCTATAAGATAGTAATGTCCTTGATAGTACTATCTTATGGTGGAGTTAATTTACTGGTGCTCGTGTAGACACGGGTGCTTTACTGCGGTGCTAATTAGTCAACTCCTCAGTAAAGTGTACATGTAGAATGCACCCACAGTCTAACCACAGTGTCAAAACGAACAAGCCAAAAATGCCCCATCATTCATACACCAGGAGACGGCCAATTTCAGCTTGGGGCTTCTTTCCAGCATAGCAGCCTGCCCCTCTCCTCCAGCACTCTCTCTCCTGGAGTTTTTAAGTTTCTTGGTGGCTCCACCCTTATTAGTAGATTATCACTTCCACCTGGCCCCCAGCCAGGCATACTATCAGTTGGTGACTTCCTGGAGCTTGCTTTCAAGCCCTTGAAGGGTTGAGGACTTCAGAGCTATTTTCAGAGCTGAACTGCGTAATAAAAGATTAATATATTAAATGAGACTTGTGATTTCAGTCCAGGAAGGAAAAGTGGCATGTTGGGGAAAACAGCAGTTTGACCGCACACAAGTATGATCTCTCAGTGCTGGTGGCTGTTAAATGTCATTCTCTTTGCAACACCATTAAGCTCTGGGCAGACTTTTTTGCCTGCCTTGCTACCTGTTGACTTGAGTACACCCTTGTGGAACTGATTAGGTAATCGGGATTCTACTTAATGTATAAAGTGTAATGACGCTACACCAGCTAGTACATAGCTACTTAGACATTGTCACAACAATCTTCAAATCCCTGAAGGGTGGTTATAAAGAGGCTGGAGTTAGAGCATTCTCTGTGGCAGCAGGGAATTAGATAAGGAGCAATAGTCTTCAATTGTAGCAAAGGAATTTAGAATGGAGATTAGGAAGAACTTTCTTACTGTGAGAGTGGTTAAGGATTGGAACAGGCTACCTAGAGACATGGTGGAATCTCCATCCTTGGACATCTTTAAGAGCAGGTTAGACAAACACTTGACTGGGAATGATTTAGACAGAGATGATCCCAACTTGAACAGGGGGTTGGACTAGATGATGTCCTGACATACTTTTTAGCCCTACTTTTTCTACGAGTCTATGCTAATTTGGGTTATGGACAAATGTACATATTAGCCACTTACAAAAGAGGGGACCGGGTGGGGGGCAGGGGGGAGGTGGGGAGAGTTAACTGTTACATCTTCATGGTTTTGTAGTGCTACATTTGATACCACTTTAACCTTGAATAAAGCAATGTTGAAGTTGGAGTGGTTTTGCTACATTTGTACCACTGCATAATCCCTTAGATATAATAACAGCTTGTGCTGGTATCTTTTGATAGCAATACAATTGTTGCAACTGCCAGTACCCGGAATTTTTTTAATTGTTTCTCTCTGTGGGCTAACATAAGGCCTTTTTTCTAGTAAGTATGAACATAAAAACAAAATGGCTATTGGGGGGATGACTAGATTGGAACCAAGTAAAATAAAGCAAGACCCAGACTAAGTAGCCATGGACTTTTGCTTTTGTGACTCTTTGCCTTCTCTGTAAACATTTCAAGCCTCTAATATATAATAAAACTGACATGTTTTCCAGCCTACCTTGAAAATCACAATACTTCACTAAAATATACATTTTATGGAGTATGTTATTCTGTCTACAGCAGAGGAGATGAAAAAATGTCTGGTGCAGAACTTCAGAAACTAACATTTTTAAAGAATTTTTTTTCTGTTCTTAGAAATTGCCTTGCATACCTCCAGCATGAGCGGATTACATTTAATTCACAAAAGCTATTTTGCTGCTTTTATTTAACACAATGCTTGTCAATGGAATTGGCTTATCTTGTGTTTAGTGCATAGAATTAGGAAATGTAAGGACAACATTAAATTTGCTCAAAAAAAAAGCAGACAAACAAGAAACAACAAACCCTAGCCTATACTATGGGGTCCTCCACCCTGAGTTCCTCTGCAGTGACAGAACTCTCTTTTTCTGAAGCTGGCAGGGTGGCTCTGCCTTTGCTGAGGGGACTATCTTCTGCTGCTGCCCAACACATGTAAAAACTCCTGTGTCTTCATTCAACAGCCATGGTCCCCTCATACTTCCCTGGGTTGGCACAGCTGTTTGTTGGAGCTGTGCAAAGTCATGAGAAGGACAT